AATTATGTGTTAAACCATTTTAATTTTTAATATCGCAAATCAAATTTGTATTGCGACACAATCATGTGACGCTTATATTGTTATGGCACAATCATCTGACGCTCAAAGGAATATAAATCACTGCATATTCATTTAAACTGGAAGCGTTCTTAATGGAGAGTTCACCGCTCCGAAAAAAATAATTACGTTTTGATTTTTCTAAAAATATTGAAAAAAGGTATCAAAAATCTAAAAAAATCACATTTTTTCTAATTTTTCAAATTCATTATGGCATAAAGTTGGACTCAAAAAACCACAAAACATCGACTTTTCGGTTTTTCTGAGAGTCCAATTTTTTTACATGATGAGATAAAGGGTGATACGGTCAAAATTTGGTCAAGGGAAAACGCGTGTAAATCGGTGAAATCGTTTATTTAAAAAATCAAATTAAATTTCTTTTTCAAGTTCAATTAGTATAAAATTCAGGAAAAATATTCAGTTAGGCTTCCGCTTTTCCAAATCCGAATTGCCGGGCCTTACGCTTGACCCCTGCCATCAGATTTTGTACAGCCACCTTGTCCACCTTCTTCGCCGCAGAAAGCCAGTTTGCCTTGAACTGCTGCTCGCCCTTAGCAGTTTTTTAAATCTTCTTTAGGTTCCGCTTGACAATAGCCCAGTATTTCTCAATTGGGCGGAGCTCTGGCGTGTTGGGAGGGTTCTTGTCCTTGGGAACCACCTGCACGTTGTTGGCGGCGTACCACTCCATGGCCTTTTTACCGTAATGGCAAGATGCCAAATCCAGCCAAAACAGTACGGAACAACCGTGTTTCTTCAGGAAAGGCAGCAGACGTTTATTCAAACACTCTTTCACGTAAATTTCTTGGTTGACAGTCCCGGAAGCTATGAAAATGCTGCTTTTCAAGCCACAGGTACAGATGGCTTGCCAAACCAGATATTTCTTTGCGAACTTTGACAGTTTCATGTGCTTGAAAACATCTGCTACCTTTCCCCTTCCTTTTGCCGTATAAAACTCCTGTCCCGGAAGCTGCTTGTAGTCGGCTTTGACGTAGGTTTCGTCGTCCATTACCACGCAGTCAAACTTCGTCAGCATCGTCGTGTACAGCCTCCGGGATCACGCTTTGGCCGTCGTATTTTGTTTATCATCGCGATTTGGAGTCACTACCTTCTTGTAAGTCGATAGTCCGGCTCCTTTTTTTGGCTCGATGCACGGTTGTAGACGATACACCCAGCTTATTTGCGGCATCTCGGAGAGAGAGGTTAGGGTTTCGCTTGAAACTACCGGCAACTCTCTTTGTCGTCTCAGCGGCTTCCGGTTTTCGATTTCCCCCCGATCCAGACTTCCTGGCTGTCGACAAACGTTCCCCAAACACTTTAATTACATTTGTAACGGTTGATTTGGCAACTTTTAGCGATTTTGCCAACTTTGCGTGCGAGTAGCTCGGATTTTCGCGATGCGCGAGCAAAATTTTGATACGCTGCTCTTCTTGCTTGGACGGCATTTTGACAACTGAAGAGTGAATTCCAAAATCAAAATAGGAGCAACATTCTACACACACACACCTTCAAAATGAGGGGTGTTCAGGTTTTTTAAATGCAAAATTGAAAGAAATACGTCAAGTTGATATTGACCAAATTTTGACCGTATCACCCTTTAGAAAAAATATTTTTACATGTTGTTTTTGAAAAAAATCTAAAAAAGAAACTGATTTTCTTGGATTTTTGATATTTTTTTCCAATATTTTTAGAAAAATAAAAACGTACAGATTTTTTTTTATTTTTGGGTCGGTAAACTTCCCCTTAACCCCCACGACAATAGGGCATGGCACGGTACTGGAACTTCAGCGTTTGTAAGTTTGAAAACAAGAGCGAATTAAAACAAATGAGTGTGATTTTGTTGAGAGATAAGTTTCTTTCTGCAATGAATAAATGATATACTCAGATTATTAATAAAATAAGGACATTTCATATATTTTATCAAGCACCGTGCAGTAGATAATGTTTAGTTTGTAACCAGTGGTGCGTCTGTCTGTCTAAGATTGTTGAGATTGTCGCGAATTTAGTGTTTCGATTTAAATGTTATGAATGCCAGGAAATGATTCAAATATTAGTGCCAACACCGCCCACCACATACTGGACAGCACGCAACCAATCCACGAAGTTCCGCTACTCACAGCCAGATGCCGCTGACAGCAGGATTAGTGGTGGTGTTGGTGTAAAGGTGGCCATGATGGGGCGAAATTGGGCTGAAGGAAAATGGATCAACGATCGAGAACGCAATGAAATCACCCGCGATCGTTGCTAGCCAATTGCCTGGCAAAAGTCAAAAGTTGTGGTCGAAAACCAAGCTAGACAAACCCAAAACGAATGTGAAAGCATAGTGAAAGCAACAATCAATACGAAACTAACGATTTTAAATTGGCTCACTAATTGACTAGCCTATTGGTCCCAAGCAAATCGATTAACGTACCCCACTCTAGTATAAATTCCAGTACCACACTATGTTTGTTTTGATTCGCTATGAAAGTTTGACAGATAAAATGAGGGGTTAGTGGATTTTTCTATGTTTCGAGGGGTGAATCGATTAGCTTGGGACCGAAGAGAGTACCAAAGCTGAGCCAAAAAGTTGAGCTCGTTTCTTCGGGACCTTCTGGTCTTAGAGTTACCTCTATGGTGAAAGATCGTTATTCGAAAAGGGAAATACGAGTCTGTACGAGTCTTGAGGCGTGAAACTCGATCAGTAGTGGAGGAGGAGCCAACCTGCTAAAATATCCAGGACCCCGTAGTTTACCGTTAACATTTATCTACGGCGCGGTCAGACCCCGTAGTGTTCGACCTACTGCAGTCAAACCCCAAAGTTACCGTGTAAATACAACCGTATTCCTATCCATCCGACCGTGTTCATCGCCATTTTGGATCTGCCTTGAGCGCCGTGGACTCGTTATACCATTCGCGAACGGCTCGGCGAACGGTACCGTGAGAGCACCCGTATGAGGAGAAGAGATTGAAGTGTTAAGAGGTGAATAATCGACTGGACAACCCACAGTCGAAACCGAGGGACGAAGGACAGAAGTTAGGGAAATAAAAGAGACCTGTGTGAAAGTTCATCGGGGTGTGTTAAAAGTATTTGAGTACTTTGACTATATGTTTTAGTATTACTTCTACGTGAAGTCAACGATTTACATAGTTGAAGATGCTAATTTCAAATAATTAGGAGTGTTCACTCGGCTGTCGACAAAAGCAGGCCACTCTCGATGTGTGCTACGCGATCGTCTGTTTTCTCGGCAGCAACCATTGTGTGGTCCTCCTCATTGTTCTTCATCGGCAGTTCTTTCGGTCGATGCGTCGTCGACTTTGGAAAGCAACCGTTTCGTGATGAGTGTGTGAGTGCTGACCACGTTTTGCGTCCATTGCTACAATGGACGCGCTCTGACCCTCGTTGGCGTACAACAATTTGCCATACAATGAAACCACTGGAAGCGGCTCCAGTTCTGATGGAGGAGGCTTTTTGGATAGCGGAAGATAAAGTGTTTATTGTGTTTTACCTTTTGACTATAGTTTTAAGATGTATTGTATAGTGACCAAGAATCCTCGGCTCTGTAAAGTTAATTCGGTTGAGCCTTATCAAATAAATTAATAAACAAAAAAAATTTCAAATAACAGACTGTAGTGGTAATTTTTATACGATAGATGGAGTAGATGAAAGCATAGAGTTGATAGTTCCGTTAGAGTACGGCAGTGTGAAGATTGCATATAGATATTAGAATAGCGAGCTAGGACAACTTTTAAGGAAGGTACAAATCGGTTTTTTCATCTCTCTTTACCAAACTCCCCCTTTGGAGAGGGATGGTGAGGGCGAACAAACCGAGGGCGAAATTAACTTCACTATAGTAAACTACACAAATTAGTTACGCCTGTTTGTAGATGTTAATTTAGGGTTACTAAACATGTTTTTTGTGAAATTTTATTAAATTGTTCATAGTATTGGATCACTTGCTGTCAATTTGTATAAAAAACTCAGTTTGTTAACATTTGTCAGTTTCGACCATTTGAAATGTTGGTAGTGACATGTTGTGAGCAGTACACGGTAAGAAAAAAGTACCCAAAATTGAGTTCCTTTCACTCATCACGTGGCTTCCGTCGAGATAGGTAAAATTAAGTTAAAGAAGAAAACTCAATTTTGAGTAATCCTGATCATGAATCCACGTTGACCAAGTTGACAAAAAAATAATAAAACGGAGCAGACTGCAACCGAACCATGGACGTTGAGATTACGGGGTCCGTGTGTTGACCACTCGTCTATCAACACTTGTGAAAATGAAATGGTTAAAGGCGCATAAGAGCAACCTCAATGAAAATAAACTTATATTTGAGTTCATTTATTATTACTCAATAGTTGAGTAAATTTCAACCAACGCCGCTTTTCTGATTCACTCAACGGCGGACTTTAAATGATAGAACTCAACGTTGAGTTTATTTTAACTTAATTTTGAGTATTTTTTCTTACCGTGTAGGCACATGTTGTATTACGCACGCATCTTGATTTGCGCGGCTGTTCAATGCAAAAATGGAGTAATAAGTCCTGTTTTGAGAAGTTCCGCTATAAGTGACGAATTGAATGGTTTAGACTACTTGTTCTATCAGTGAGCTGAAGAGCTGCGATTCCTAAAAAATTAACCGCGGGTCATCAGCTCACTTGAGTGAATCGGATATTCAGTACAGCTCCCCATCTCTAATTCATACTAGACGTAGCTTTTAGTAAAATGTGTTGTCATAAAAATGCACTATCGGCTCCTTAAAGCTAACGCGATTGAGCCTTTCAAATAAACGAATCATGTTTTTTTAAAAAAACCTTCCATTGTTTATTTGTAAATAAGAGAGCCTCCGAGTAAAAACTGACTCAAGAAATCGCTTGTATAAAAAGAAGAGATCGCTCGCACATATTGTTAAAAAAGTATTCAAACTAAACTATTAATGCTAATAAAATGTTTTTTTTTTTACAGGAAACCTCCTCACAATCACAGCCCTCCTCAAATATCACAAACTACGGAAACATCCAACGACAGCGTTCGTGCTTTCCCTAAGCATATCAGATCTCTTTTTCTGTGCAGTAAATATGCCCTTAACGGCAATAAGGTTCCATAATCAGGTAGACGAGTGTTGCGTTTAACTTTCTTAACCTTCTTACCTAATTAATAAAATAATTCTAACTTTCCAGAAATGGACATTGGGTGATGATTTGTGTAAAGTGTTTCCAGTATTCTTCTACGGCAACGTGGCGGTGTCAGTGCTCAGCATGGTAGGCCTCACAATTAATCGGTATACGCTGATTCTTCATCCTAGTCGCTATTCTAAGATATACACTCCACTTAGTTTGTGTTTGCAACTATTCATGATATGGGCATTCTCTTTTGGAATTATGGTATGTACAGCCGGTGGCAATCTTGGAGTATTTATTTCACGAATCTTTCATTTCAGCTCCTTCCATTGTTCGAAATCTGGGGCCGGCTAGGACTGGACGAGGAAACGTTTTCCTGTACGATTCTCAAGAAGAATGATACATCACCAAAGAAATTCATCTTCTTGTTTGGAGTTTTGGTTCCGTGCATAATCATATCAATATCCTACTCATGCATATTTTGCACAGTACACAAACAGCGAGCAAAGCTAAAGGCTCACAGGTAAATAGCACCACTCATTGAGTGAATATAATTTGTAGTTTATTTAAGATGAATCCCTGTGGAAAATATATTTCTGATTTAAGTTTCAACTTCACGAGCACAAATCGACTCTACCAAAACATAGGAACAATGAAACTGGAACTCCACTTTTGCAGTAGTGCAGCAAACAAGGAGTTCTACTTGAAGTGATAGGGCGTATCAGTTATCATGACAGCCATCATCTGCTTCATCTCTTCGCTTTTTTAGGAGCACAAATCCCAAGTAACATTGCAAGTTTTATCGATGCATGCATGCTACAAGTCTAAATCACGGTCTTCAGAACCCTTATAAAACCAAAATTGATACTTGGGATATCATCATCCATTAAAATCGTTTTACTCGTAGCATTTTTAGCAGGCAGATTTGACATGAAATTTTTAATAATTCATAAACAGCTTTTAGTGCGTTTGAATTATATTGATGATACATCAAGACAATGTCATAAACTTGCGTTCGGTATACAAACTCCTCAAATCTACGAGAACAATGAATCAATGAATGAATGTACGCGTCAAATCACCGAAAAATAAGCATTACTTTTGCAAGCGATTAAAAAACAAAATGTCACTCTGAATTGTATTTCAAGGTTAACTATTCCTCTTTCTAGTGATGCATAAACATTTTGAAAATATCCAAGGAAATTGTTGATAAAAATCATGTTTCAGTAGTGTGTTTTTTGTACGTGCACTCAGTGCACCAGCGCGACTGCTGGACGGTTAACGGTAATTAGCTCTTCGAACGATTCTGTGACACTACCCCGAATGTCACTACCCCGAACGCCATAACCCCGAACGCCATTACCCCGAATGCCACTACCCCGAATGTCCTACTACCCCGAATGGCCATTACCCCGAATGCCCTACTATCCCGAATGGCCATTACCCCGAAATTAAGACAAATGAAAGAACAGCAAGGGGTCAAAAGAAGGGTACATTTTTAGAAGGAAATTTCGTTTTGGAATTTATACTGAATACAAATGATAATTTTTTATTGGAATTTTGAAGCTTGCAAGCGAGCAAGCTTGTTTTACGCGAGAAGCCCGAGAGATGTCGTTACTGAGGTCCTATGTTTTGAGATACTATGTTTTCAAGAAAAACTTTTTCAAAGTGTTATGTCTGTTGTCTGTGATTAAACTCTCTGATTAGTTTCACTTTACTAAATTGATGATACACTACTTTTACTTTTATGGAACTATGTATTTATCAATTCCAAACCATTTTAAAGCTCTTTAGAAAATGACAACCTTCGAGTTTTCGAGCACTTCGTTCACCATTTAAAAAGTCAAAGGGTCTAATATGCAATCCAATTCAATATGCAATACCAGTCGGAAACTGTTAAACCTTATCAAAGAATTGTTCGACCTGAGTTGAAGAATTTCTCGTTATGGATTGAAAAATCGGTGCATGGAATATTGCCTTCTTTATCGTTCATCCAATAATTAATTATTTCCTTTTGTTATATTTTCAAAGAAGGGAATATTCCCTTCTTTATCATATATTTAACGAATTGATTATTTTCTCTTTTATATATTAAAAGAAGGGAATATTCCCTTCTTTATCGTATATCCAAAGAATTAATTATTTCCTATTGTTATATTTTCAAAGATGGGAAACCCCCTTGAGCCATTAAGGGGCTGTTCATTAACTATGTAGACAGTTTTTTTGGGATTCTTGACCCCCCCCCCCTTCCCCTGCGTAGACAATTTTCCATACAAAATTTTTAAAATTTGTATGTACCGTGCACAATTGCCAACCAGCCCCCCCCCCCCTTCCCTAAACTGTCTACGTAATTTATAAACATATCCTAATAAGTTTTTCTTTTCTTTTTATATACGCGAAAGAATATTCCAGGAATGACTATAATAAACAAAAATAGTCAATCTAATACATGGCATACTTTTCTGGGGAATGGTTCATTCTGGGAAATGCTTTTCTGGGGAATGGTGCATTCTGGGGAATGAGATTCTGGGGAATGGTTTTCGGGGGAATGGTTTTCTGGGGAATGTTATAGAATCCTATCATTTGTATTCAGTATAAATTGACCACTTTGTCAAGCAGTTTTGGCGTGACTTTCTACCAGCGATTTCACAAAACTCGACCAACTAATTTCTATTTTCAATTATAAAACGCACAAATGTTGGCTACTTTTCTCGAGGTTCTAGAAGAAAAAATCTCAAAATAATGTTTTATTTCAAAGTTCGAGTGGTAGTAAACGTCTTTTTAAGTGCTCGAATGAAGTGGTTAATTAGAAAAGAAAATTTTCTTCTCAAAAATGTATCCCTTGCTGTTCTTCTATTTGTCTTAATTTCGGGGTAGTCGCCATTCGGGGTAGTGTACTATTCGGGGTAACGGCGTTCGGGGTAGTGTACTGTTCGGGGTAACGGCGTTCGGGGTTATGGCGTTCGGGGTAGTGACATGCGGGGTAGTGTCACAGAATCCTTCGAACACCTAACAGCCTCGTTGGATAAACTACTTATTTCAGACATTGCAAATTGTACAATTTTCAAATCCCGTTCATGGAAATTCAAGTCTAATATTAAGAATTTTTCCAAGATTCTGCATTGATTGGTAACAAATTTGAAGACCCTTTAGGGTTGGGTTGAAGTCTAAGAAATAAATGATTATGGGATCAGAAATTTCTGAAAAGTGTAACAGTCAGAGAGGTATTACATCTCCAGGCCACTGACAACAGAGTTTTACAGTAGGCTACATATCCCGGGCCCATCCAAAAAAAAACAATTTGAAATGATTAAAAGTTTAATAAGCTAAAAAAATGCTGTAGAAGCTAAATTTTGCATGAACAAGCTCTTATTCAGCTTTCAATGTTTGATGGGAAATCCACTGATATTCATTATTGCTACGCGATAATGATTGACCTGAAGATCTCAAAGTAGTAAAATTCACTATCTCAGACTTGAATAAATTTTAAAGATCTGTGATTTAACATGATTAATTTAAAATGTTTAAATTAATTCAAAATGTCGGACATCCGACATTGAACCTTTTAAGATTGCAAAAAATAACAATGACGTGTCTGTAGGTTAGAAATTGCTTAGGAATTTCACTGGAATCATTTAACAAAATCTTGGACGATCTTGGACTTGATACATTTTCGAAACTCTGGGACATTACAATTTATTTTAGATCTCAGACTTAATTTTTGGAATCCCGTACTAAGGAAAAGTTCAGAATTGCTAGTTTGAAGAAATATTAACTATTCTTATTTAAATTTCAAGTTTTGGGACTTAGCATTTTTAATATAACAGAATTAAATTAAATTGGGTAATAAACATCACTGACAAAAAGGCTTTCTGCAAACACATATTGATAGAGAGAAAGAAATGTTTCGCTCAGCTGAATATGAAGTCTAGATAAGATGATTCAAAGTAGGATATAAAACTTAGAGGCTATTCATAAACCACGTAGAAACCTGATGAATGTGGGCGTCTTAGTTGAATACCTGTATAAAGAAAGAGAGAAAGATTGGTAATTTCCATTTAATTCCACTACCTTATTTGCTTATCCTTGACAGATACGCGTAGTTCATCTACAATGTGCAGACTTCTTCAGGGTCATGGAAATTACTAATCTTTCTCTCCCTCTCTCTTTCTTTACACGTAGAAACTTTAGGTGTGGAACTATTTGTTGATCCACTACTATATATTATTATTGCCATTTGATCACAATAAAATAACACCGTCATTATAATCATATACCTTAGTAGTAATATCAAATCCTAAAGAATAAAAAATGTGACGTTATTTCTTTATATTGAGCTCTTCATTTATTGAATTTCCTTCTTATTGAACTTTTCCAGTAGTTCTAACTCTTCAAGCCGAATCGAATCGTTCTTCCGCAGCAAGGAAGACTGTCGGCTAACGCTGACACTGTTAACGATCTACGTATGCTTTTTGGTATGCTTCTTTCCACTGATGATTGCCAACGTCATCGACGATGATGGGTCGTATGCGAATCTCCACGTATTTGCATCGGTTCTGGCGTGGATGTCGGCCGTCATCAATCCATTAATTTATGCCATTGGAAGTCAAAATTACAGGTAACAATTGATTTTCAAACGCATATCTATGATGGGTTTAATAATGTATCTCTTTTTTAGACACGCGTATACCAAACTTCTCTCAGAACTTTGCTTTTGGAAGACGAACGTCGAGTTGCGATCATTCGACGAAGTGAACAAATCTCGGACAGTTGACCATTTATAGCACACGTTGGTGATAATGTATGCAGCGAATAAAAGACTTAGCTTTAACGACAGAAACCGAACCTCCAGTTTTTTTGGATGTGAAATTGAACCAAAAGAAATCCCATTCTGAAAGGTCGTTACCTCTATTTTAATTTGATCGAGTGATTAAACAATTGTTTCCTTAACAGTACCTAAGAACGAAGTAGTAATTGTCGTTTGCAGTCGGATTGACCAATTTGTACGAAATACTTCCAATTGACTTCAATTAAAACATAAAAGCAAAATAAAATCATGTCCGCTTAAAACAAAAATATGTATTAACTTTCGAATCATTTTAGAAAAACCGGTTTGAAGGAAAACGGAAAATATATGGCTTATTAGTTGCGGATCAGTAGATTTAGCAATAATTCATTCAGGATCAGGACATTACAGGGTGTTGTAATTTGTTTTTTAGGCGCGATTCTTAACTTATTTAAAACCCTAACTATGTGTATATTGATTTATCACTAGGACCTTTCAGATCAGGCCGTGGCACCCAAATCTAAAATTTCGCTAACGAACGCCGCAACGTCTGTCGATTTTTCCGTGTGCTCCTGAATGAAGGGATGATTTAGCAACTGTTCGTAGTTATATCGGTTCTGGAAGTCTTTCTGCAGGCATGCGATGGTAAAGTTCTTGAATACTTCAGTAAAATCATCGGATCTTAGCCGAGGCGGTTCATCTTTGACAACCTGCGTATTTAACGAAAAGAAAAGGCAATCATTGTTGTGCAATTTCAGCTTAAAACGATTCGGCACTCACCTGCTTCAACTGCTCGAAAGGAGATCCCCACGTGTTGTAGGGGAATGTACCGGTAGCCATTTCAATCATGCTGATTCCCAACGACCAAACGTCTGATTTGATGTTGTACTCTCCGGGGTTACCTAAAAATGTTTTACAAAACTGTCTATGGCGAACTTGGGTTTAATGTTTCATAAATGAGCACGAACCTTGGGGATCTATCCTTTCGGGAGCCATGTATGGCTTGCAACCGGCATCGATAGTTTTGGCTACTGAATCTACCAGATATCCTATCAGAAAAAAGGAAGATGATAATTTCAGTTACGGTAAAATCAGGACAAACTGATCAGCATACACACTCCAAGAAAACGACGTTGAACGTACTCAACCCTCTCAGCATGCAGATGTCACATAGCTGCTGGCCAAAAGACAGAATATATGTACCCAGTATAGACGAGATAGCCAACCCAAATCGGTAATAGTGTCCTCAAAAGCAAAAAAAAAAATCAGGATTGAAGTTTTGCAGCCTGAAGACATCAACTAGTGCTAATTTGTTCGATCTTTTCGATCTTCAAGGAAACAAATGAATGCTTTTTTTTATTGGGTATCAGCTGCGTGACAGCTTCGTTTTCAAGACTTGACCCATTTGAATAAATTTTGCTTCTATCTTTGACAATACAACAGAAGGACTAGCCTATGATGGCAGCTTGAACACTGGATTTCGTGTGTATTGTTTCAAGATAGTTATCGAAAAAATGCTGTGACGTGTGTGCGTAGATACACACTAAGATTTTCACAGAAGATCACACATCCGCGTAGTAGGGTAGAGAACTACTTCGGCCTAATCGCCCATTTTGGGCCTATCAAGCAGAAAACTTCAAATAAATCCATGATTTCAGAGTCAACAAGTCAAATATGCGTTTGGTACGATACTTTAGTTAATAAGCTACCGAACGAAGTCCATGAGAACGTGTGATATGAAGCTTTGCACCCATTATTCCCAAAAACTAAAGAAGCGCTTTGACCGAATCAATTTTCATCTTCATCCGATAAGCCGAAGTGAATTCATTGGCGTTTCAATGGCGTTTCAATGAGTTAGGCCGAGTTTAAAATCCGTAGGCCGAGTTTGGCGTCCAGAAGCAGTGTTAGACTTTTGACAATATCTCAACGATTGGTTTCTCTTTATCAAATCTTACGGTACGTACGAAAAGGTAAATAAATTTGGAAGCCATAAGTAATAATAACATTCCGTTTGGTGCTTAACTGCGCTAGATTAAGAAAGACTAAGTGCGGGTTGTGCTTAATAGGCCGGAAATGGGGTAGTTAACTCTAATCCGATTGAATTAGTAAATCCGCTTCGAACGAAATATCTAAATTATGTAAGTTACGAAAACGAACGAAATATCTAAATTATGTACCCGCGAATTCCGAACGCCGGGCGAAACAACCGAGGAAAAAAGGCTTATTATCATTTAAAGAGTGCCACCAAAATCAATGTGATAGCCTATGTTGGCAAGTTCATTAATTTTGGTTTCCTCCCTAGATATTCTACTTATTTACTACTGAGCTTTGTATCAAATTAGTTAATTTAACGGACGTATCAATCATTTCAAGATTTCGCGACCGTACCGAACAAATTCTATACTACATAAGCTCAAACAACTTTTGGCAAGCTCTACCGAATTGCGAATCACTTCTGCGTAAGCTCCGTAGAAGTAGGCGCGTTGAATCCGACAGCCGCAACAACTTAAATATGCATCAATACCACATAAGGAAAGATCGATTGTAAATTTCGCCAAAGCACTCGAAGCGGATCCGGCTGAAATGGAAGCTGTTTATTGCATTGGTGAGGAAAGGGGAGTCTTCATGAAGTTCAAATCAGAGGAAGCGATGCTCCATGCTCTGACATTCAATTCGGAGGATTTAATCTTCCATTATGCGAATGGAACGACGGCAAAGGTACGCATGTCGCATACTGGTGAATTCATCCAATATGAACGTGTGTATAACTTGCCACCAGAGGTACCCGACAACGAGCTGGATAAAGTGCTTGGGAAATATGGAAAAATTAAACGCATCATCCGGGAGAAATTTCCAACTGATCTGTGTTTTGAGGTATATACAGGGATACGCGGTATATAAATGGATGTGAAGAAGGAAATCCCCACGTCATTACATTTCTTCAATCGCAAAGGAAATATATTTTATGATGGCAACAAAGATAAATGTTTTCTGTGCAAGGCGGACGGACACCGGAAGCTTTCCTGGCCCAAGCGGAAAGCTCGGAAGGAACAGGAGAAGCAACTTAAGGAAAAAGGAAAGCAGGAAAGTGAAAGAAAACAAAACAACAGCAGTACGTATGCTGGTCTAGTGGTGGAAGGTGCATCGTTAGTCATTACCGACCAGGAAACGGACACGGGGTTGGAAATGTTGAATGAAAATAACGAAATGGACGTGACGACCCCGAGAGTGGCGGAGATCATGCAACGGGAAACGACGTTCAGAAGCAGCAGCAGCGATCACAATTCGGGTTCAATGAAAATAAGGAACAAATTCGAGAAAGAAAGAAGTTGCGTGCACGGGACAAGATCGCTTTGTCGCCGCTTCGATCGCCACCCAGGAAAATCCTATTATAAAATGCATTTTTATATCTTTTTTTTTTGTATTTTGAGTAACAAAATTGGTATTCCATGTAACTCGGCTCCGATAAGTTATTTTTATAACATTTGAGCCTTCCAAATAAACGAAATGAAAAAAAGACGAGTTATTCCCCGTTATTCAACTAATATTCCAAGATATGATGAATGCCGTCACATTTTTACATTTTTTTACAATTGAACTTGATAATTGGGTTCTTTAATTTTGAAAAATATATCGGTTTTTATATATTATCTGAAAGAGCTTCGTTTTCTGAGCACAGCAATATTTTTTTCGAACCCACACACTCACCTCGATTTTTAAATCAAGATTTAAAGCAAAATAATAATTTCACTGTTTGACACTAAACTGACAAACTGACAGCTCGCTCCCATACAAAGTGACACCGAGGGGCGCTAATAAAGTGATTTTTGCAAATGTAATCGTTCTTATTTAAAATAGTTCCAGTGTATCATAATTAATGAAATTTTGGGTTTGGCTTCCATTTTTAATGCAGATTACGAATATGCATTTACCTCAATACCCTTAAAGAACCCAATTGATGATGATGATGATGATGATGATGATGGTCCCACCTCTTACCCCTACAAAGGTTTGAGCTGGACGATTTATCTTTAAGATAATTTAATATGCCATTTTAACCAGGTTAGCAAACAAAATCCATTTGGTTACAGTTACTGATATAAATTCCTTCTAGAGTTTACAGTTGCTTCACAGCGATATAAATGTGGAAACACTTGAGCGTCCACCTCTTAGTTACATGAGATGAGTTACCTCATGAAATCCGCGTATCGTGAGAGTATGCGTAGTGTAAAATGGAGACCATACTGGGTAAGCATATTTTAAGATGCTACGAACCAGCGAGCAGAATAGTATCTTGAGGCAATACACATCGGTGAAACCAGAAGCATGACGACGAATGAAACCAAGCACAGTGTATGCTTTTGCTATGTGTTCACGAAACGTTAACCTGGAATCGATCGTAACGCCTAGATCGCAGATTGAGTTAACACGTTCTAGGGAATCCGGTCCCATGCAGAGTAACGCTATTGCAGCGGGTGAAGTTTATCATTTTGCATTTTTTGCTGTTGACTCGCATTCCGTTGTCGCCACACCAGACTAGCAAACGATTTATATCTTCTTGTACTGCAACAAAGTCGACATCACACGAAAAAATTTTAGGTCATCAGCATAAGACAGTTTGGACAATAAGAGTAGCTCACACAAGTCATTCACATACATGATAAAAATAATAGGACCAAGAACACGCCTTGTGGTACGCCAGATAGAGTGTCAAAGGTCCTGGAGCGTACGGAATTCACCACGACGAAAGCATTTCGATCAGACAGGTACGAGTTTAGGCGTTTCGTGATCCAGGTTGGAAATCCTATGTGATTCATTTTTCTAATGATGAGGTTGTGCGGTATTGTATCGTAAGCTTTCGCAAAATCGACGTAAACCGAATCCACTTGCTGTTTTGATGCTACATCACGTGATATCGCTGACACGTTTTTTTCCTCTGTTCGGGACCTAACACCACTGCGACTAGTAATTTGATCTATTGTAGTATATACCGTGTCCTTAGTTTAGTGCATGTCGTATTACTCCATCATTATTAAGAAATGATGAAGTATTCGATTTTTTTACAGTTGTCATTCTCGCATTTATTGCAAGGATCCGACTCTAATTGAAAGGTCCCGCTATTTATACCCTTCGGAGTGGTGAAACACCCTCCAAAGGCGCGCCCTTGTCAGTCAAAATTGGATTCCTTAGCAACAAAATTAATGAATGACACCGATAATGACAATGCATCAGAACCCTAGTCTTAACCACTTCAAACTAGGGAACAACGAATAGAAGATTCATGTTTTCCTTGTTTCAAGATCACCCTCGGTGGACAAAGCCGAGTCTTGTCGCTATCAACAAGGCATAAAAAGTAACAAGGACTAAGATGTGTTCCTTGGATTATTGAAAAATCCTGTTCCCCTAGTTTGAAGTAGTCAGGACTAGGTGGTAGATCTTACATCCCGTAACGTACCACGAAAAGGTGATCTACCGACGTTACGGGGTACATAACACATTAGGTTTGATGTCGTTGAGCGGTGATTCATAAAACCGTGCTGGCTGTTGCTGATCATCGGGGCAGCAACTCTGCACAGACCTGTGTGGATCTTACTGATAGTGCAAAGTATGAATATACCACGATAGTTGGTGACACATTTTTTTATTTCCAGACTTATAGATCGGTACTATGAATGCCGTTTTCCAGGCATTTGGGAACGTTCTGTCTTGGAGCGAGCGGTTGAAAATAGCAGCGATGGGCGACGCAAGCGTAGCGGCACAGTTTTCAGCAACACAGGAGGCAGTCTGTCCGTTCCGGGTCCTTTCGTTGAATCGAGATCTTCGAGGGCTTTCTGAACTTCGCCTGGAGAGAACTGTATGCATGGTAGATTAATGTTATGAGACGGAATCTGATCGAAGCCTGCTTGGCGTTGAACGGGTGATGCTTTACTAAATGCGCTCTTAAAGAAATAGGCAAAGAGATTAGCTGTCTCCGAGCTTGAGCGAGAAGTGATTCCATCAAAGTTGACCGAGCCAGGGATGCCGTAGTCAGCTTTGCGTTTCTTGATGA